CAGTGTGCCAGATCGTTTTTGATCTTCAGGGATTCCCACCCCACCCCAAACATTTTTCTCCCACTCTGTTCTGGACTTCTAATGTGTTCCCTTTGGAGCAGTTGTTAAACGGTAGCTGGGCACCATCTAATTTTTTTTCTGGTTTTAGAATTTAAGGTTCATTGGTTCATTGGACTAATTGTGTTTTCTCTTCTCCAGAGAAAGACCAATAGTTGTCCCTTGGATGACCATCCACAGCTTCTAAAACCCTCCGTTGCTATGACTGAAGTAAGATCTAGAACATTGCCTTTGTGCACTATGTAATGCCAATTAACCTGGGTGTCTCCTAAGACCATGGTCCTGAGCCTCCAGGTCCAGGTGTTTGGTTATGCCTAAGAACTTCTCATAACTTTGCCGCCTGTATGCTCCACCACATTCATGGATATATTTGCAGCACAGGGAGAAATAGCTGCTGTCAAACCTATATATATTCATGAGTAGAGTACTGCTCACCTTCCACACCTTTTCACTCTGTGTCTGCTAATTGATCTATTTTAGATCACTATGGTTGCAGGATTGTGTCTGTAACAGTATTTACCTCTAGTTCCTTTAACTCTTGCACTCCTCTCTGTATCTTCCCACGTCTCCATCATTTTTGACTGATCTTCTTAGTGTATCTATTGCCTTCTTTTCTACCCAAGTAACACATATCTCCTCTTAGCCATTAATTTACTTTCTCGTCATCTCCCACCAGTGGTGGAAGAGAGAAAATACTTTTTTTGACTTTTAATAATAGTGGGCTCACACACTCATTGTGATTTATATATTTCATAGCGTAATGTTCTCTAGCTTCACGCCTGTTAGGAGGTGGAGTGCAGATGTTATTCTTTCATGCTGTGCAGTGGCCCATGGTGTGCGTGGACCATTCTGTGTGGTTTATCTTGTCTTCCACTGATGGGAATTTGGGTTGTTTACATCATTTTGCTCTTGTGAATGGTGCTGCCTTGAACATGGGCGTGCATGTATTCATTTGTGTGGCAACGTTTGTTACTCTAAGATATTCACCAAATAGTGTGAGTGCTGGGTCAGGTGGCATTTTCAGTCCTAATTTTGGGGGGAAACTTGGCTTTAATTTTAAGAAATAATCTTTTACTGTGGGTGTGTGTGTGTGAAAGTTTACACAGCAAGTGAGGTCACCATTTGAAATTCCTCCACAAACGGCTCGGTGACATTGGTGACATCTTTTCAATGCGTCGTTATTCTCGTCCACTGGGTTCTGCTTGGTCTGTGCCCTCGCTCTAGTCTCCCTTGAACTCTTGCACTCCTCTCTGTATCTTTCCATGTCTCCATGTCTTCTCATGTTTGCTTGAGAAGAAGTTGTGACTTGGTAGCTTATAGAGTTTCATTTTTAAACAGAGCACCGTACTCACAAACAATATCCTTTACTTTACGAACAAATCTGTTATTTGCTAAAACGTGACCTCAGGAGATAATTTCAGTTCAAGGTTAAGGAACATCTAAGGGGGTAGTGTCAGGGAGTCCTAATGCTAATGGGTCCAGTCAGTTTGGACCTGTGGAGAATATGATTTCTACCCCATGTCTTTCTCTCATTCTATCGAGGTTCACTTGTTGTGGCCCTGACCAGAGCTGTCAGGCATGGTAGACCAATTCTTGTGGTCTTAGGGTAGATGACTTTTAGGCTATCAGTCCCATACATCAACTTCTTCTGAGACTTTGATTTTCTTCTTTCTCTTCTGATCCTGATGAGTAGTTGTATTTTGGAAAGCCAAACGCATAAGATGTTTGGTTATATCTAAGAGAATCTGCAACGATGTCCTCTATGAACATACAGGTGTGAACACCTGTGTACACACTTGCACCTACCCTTACGTGTATGCAAGGGCTTCAAAAGTTCATGAAAAAAATCTAATCTCTTCATTTAATTTTCCCTAAACTTTCTAAAGCCCTCTCAATATACACTTAAATACCTACATACATGACCATTCACTCATTTTTTGGTTATTTTTGGTGTTGTTGCCAAATTATATAACATCACAAGCATCAGTGCTCCTTAGTGGCATTGGTTACTTAGGCCAAGCAGTGCTAATCACACTCATATGTGATGCTAATTTCCTCCTCGCCCAAAATAACAAGTCTCTATGATCTAGAAAGTAATTTCCCCTCCCCATCCTCACCCCTCCTTCCTCACCACCAAGGAACATTTGTGGCAGTTACATAATCTGTTGTCAACTTGTGACTATTTAGAGCAGCAGTTCTCAACCTGTGGGTTGCGACCCCTTTGGGGGGTCAAACGACCCTTTCACAGGGGTCACCCAATTCATAACAGTAGCAAAATGACAGTTATGAAGTAGCAACAAAAATAATTTTATAGTTGGGGGGTCACCACAACATAAGGAACTGTATTAAAGGGTTGAGGCATTAGGAAGGTTGAGAACCACTGATTTAGACTCAATGGGGTGGAGTTTAGGCTGTCAATCAGGTGTTAGCTTGATGACCTCATTTGGAGGTGCGACAGAGATAAATAGCTCACTGGAGGCCCCACCCATATTCACTGCTCTGTCTTCTGCTGACAAACCACATGGAGCTACACCCTCTTGTGTTAGGGCAGCATTAGGGAACTAAGGGAATATCTGATCAGTCTTGAGCAGTGGTTCTCAATCTTCCTAATGCTGTGACCCATTTAATACAGTTCCTCATGTTGTGGTGACTCCCAACCATAAAATTATTTTCATTGCTACTTCATAACTGTAATTTTGCTACTGTTAGGAATCATAATGTTGATATCTGATATGCAGGATGTATTTTCATTGTTACAAATTGAACATAATTAAACAATTAAAGCATAGTGATCAATCACAAAACAATATGTAATTATATATTGTGAAATATTTATGCATTTTCCGATGGTTTTGGGCGGCCCCTGTGAAAGGGTCATTTGACCCCCAAAGGGGCCAAGACCCACAGGTTGAGAACTGCTGCTTTAGAGAAATATCTCGCTGTCCTTCCAGATCTGTTAATAAGGCATACGCCAATTGTCCCCTTCCCTCTGATTGGCTGCAGTGGTTGGTGCCCAGACCTTTAGTTTTGGTTTAATATTAGCGACCTTGCAGGGAAAGTCTCTCTCTTGGTAAGTGAGGATGTTTGTTGTTCTTACTTGCTGGAAGACTCTGTGAGCTGCCAGGCCAGAGGCGGCTCAGAGGCATGCATTACAGACATCCCAATGGCTTCCTTGGCCATGTAGTGGTTACAAGTTTGGCTTCCATCTGCATGGTCAGAGGTTGAAATCCACCAACAGCTTGGCAGGAGAAAGACTGAGCTTTCTACTCCCGTGGACAGTTACAGTCTCAGAAGCCTATTGGGAGTCACGATGAGTCAGCATGGACTCAATGGCGGTGCCAAGACCATTGTCTGATGTAAGGCGCATGCTCCTGGACGTCTCCAGGTGGTTTCCTTTTCTGCAGAATCTATACATCTTCATTTGGTAATTGCTCACCTGGGAAGATTTCTGTTCAGCCCAAGGATCGCCTTACACTTCTGTGCCTCTATCTGGTCTGTTTGGGTTAACCATTGTAATGGTGGACGCGAAAGCCCTGTTTATGGGTCTACCCCTTGACTAAAAAGGAAATGGTGTTGTACCATAATATGGCCTGGCTTATATACAATCTAGACTCCAGGGGAAAATGGCCTTTAAATATATCCTTAAATTATACTATCTTACAGCTTAAATTGTTTTGCAGGTCAAGTAAATGAGACGGACGTCTTTATGTACAAGCTTGAATTACGCTCTACAACCAGGATTCAGAGCAGAAGGGAAATGAATTGCTCCTTTGCTTGTCCCTTCCATGTTGTTTGAACTCAATTTTAATTTTATGACTATCATGTTTGTGCTTATAAATGAAATTGTTTAATGTGTGAGAAATGAGTGAAATTTGACAGGTTTGGGTATGTGTATATCAACTTTAAAATCTAGACTCTACAAGTGATTTGAATGAAATATTCCAGGTGTTTCCAAAGAAGAAGAAAAAGGAGGAGGAGAAGGAGACGATTAAAAGGAAAAAAATGTACTTTTTCCACGTTTCTCAGCCAGAGCTAGTTTAGATACGCCTGTGAATAGGGTTAATTGAATGATTGTGTCTCCAGTAGACTTCCAACTTCCTGAAGGCCAGCACAAAGTCTTTTTGACTCTTTCATTCCAAAACATATAGAACAATGCCTGGCACAGAGCGTGGCTCTAACTATTGTCAGAAGAGTGGGTGGGTAGGTGGGGAGTGCAGACCCCAGATCTCTTACTCTGCCCCCAAGATTTTCCCCTGCCACACTGCACCAGGGATGGTCCTCAATGCCCAGAGCCTGGATTTGCAGCCTCTTCAGACCCCAATGTGGATCCCAGTCCCATGTTAACAGGCTCACTCTACAGGGTTTTTATGGCTAAGGGTACAGGGTGTCTATGACTAAGGTAGATGAGACATCACTGTTGTGGAGGATCCCTCTGCCTACCTGTTCCAGGTCATAGAGCACCTGAAGGGGGCTCCTCCTTTTTCCGTCAAGCCAGCCAGAGCCCAGGCTCCTACTTTCCATTGCTGTGGGGAACAAGGGGAAATATGTTACTGCCACATCACACAGACTGATTGTCCCAGATGGTAGGGGCTCACCAACTCACGTAAGATACACTTGACCCACCTCTATGACCCTTTATCCTAAAGATGCAAGGTTGGTTCACCTTATGAAAATGAATCAATGTAAGACTCCATATTAGTGGATTGAAGGATAAAAGTTGCATGTCCTGCCTGCTTCTTGGGGCCTCGGGAAAGTATGGGGGGTGAGGAACACTGGCAGGGACCCTAATTCTTCAGGTAGGGATTCTTGTTGTCACTTCTCCTCTGTGGTAGTTATATAATCCATTGTCAATTTGAGAGGATTCAGAGTGAAGAGGTGGAGTTTAGCCTGTCAATCAGGTCGCAGCTTGATGACCTCATTTGGAGGTACGACAGAGACAAATAGCTCACTGGAGGCAGGGTGCAGGCTGAGTCCCTGGGAGACATTGCAGCGGACAAGACATATGAAGCTCTGCTAGTGCCCTGACATGGAGGAGCCAGGCGGAAAACCCTGTCAGCGCTGAGAAGCTTTCAACACCACTGGATCCACAAGACCTCCCACCCACTGGCCCGTGATCTTCCTGAATTCACCGTCATTGCATGTGTTGTGTGAATCTGAAGAGAACTTTATGGATTGGTATCGAACATATGGGTTAATATCCGACTTACGGACTTGATCTGGACTAGGCTGGGATGTTTCCTTAATGTATAATTACTCTTTATATAAAGCTCTTATACACATATGAATGTCTCCATGAATTTCTTTCTTTACCCAGACTAACACATCGCCCATGTCCTGCCCTTTAGAATTGGGGCATTTCAGAGAGGAGAGGAAGAAAGGGACAGTGGTGCTCAGCAACCTAACACCTCTGGGATAAGCCCTGACCATCCAACCACACCCACCTCCACCTGCCTTCATCCTGTGCCCGCCCCTGAGGAGCCCTGAGGGACTCTCCTCAGATTGGGTTAAAAGCTCGCATCTTATCCTTTGTTCTCCCCTTTGACCCGTTTTTTATTATTTTCTGCTTTCTTTTGGATTGAGATTTTCCTGTGTTTTATTTTTGTATGCTTTTCTGTAGATGAAATCCAGGATAGGTCAATCTATAGAGACAGTAACTGGAGTAATAGTTTCTTAGATTATGGTGGGAGGGGGTCTGGGGGAGAAATGAGGAGCTAATAATGACTAAAGAATGAAGAAAATGTCCTAAAATTGACTGTGGTGATGACTGCACACTCTTTTTGGTGTGTTTAAGCCCCTGAATGATTGTGGTGATGACTGGACAATCTTTATAGGATGGTTAAACCACTGAATCATATGGTATGTGAATCATATGCCAATACAACTACGAAAGATAAATAAATTTCCTTTGAAAACAAGTTTGGGTAAAAAAAAGTAAACTTGGGAAATTGGACGAGTTGGACCATTGATGCTTGGTTCTTGAGTTGCAGCTCGCATGTTCTCGCATGCACTGGCCTGTGAGAACACAGGGTTGGTCCAGGTGGCTGATCGGCCCCAGGGACCTGTACTCACCGTTCCCAGGTACAGGAAATCCCTGGGTTATGAACAAGCTCCATCCTGAGTGGCTCTTTTAAGTCAACTTTGTAAGGAAGTGGGAACATTCTTACTTAGCATCCATTAGTCAAATGTCTGTCATGGTATGTTCTAGTATGTGAGGACAGTATATAGTTTACCTTTCTATGGATAGAAAACACTTAAACAATTCCAAACACATTCGAACATATTAAAAATAATAATACAGTGCATAATAATAACATAGCCACCATAAAAGTAACTTTATCTACTACGAGAAAGAGAGAACAAGAGAGCATGTGTGTGTGTAGGTACAGAATATACAGTAACGGGAAAGAAAAACATCTAGAAATAGTTCTTAAAACAAATTAGATGGGGGAAAAGTCCGCAATTAGAGGTTACCACTTATTCTACTGATGCCTTGCATACTGGAAAGGGCATGCGTGAGAGAGCTTTTTGGATGGTGCTGGAGAAGATGATGGCGACAGGGGCCCTGTTGACAGGGATGGGTGTGGCGCTGGAGAGAAAGCCAGGGTTTGATTCTGCTGCCGGAACGGGTTTCTTGATAAGCATCCAGGAAGGTTGGTAGCACGCATGTCTCTTTCTCTTCCTCGGTAGCCTCGGAGCAGCTAAGGCCCTTGATAGGCAGTACACGGTACGTGTTGCTCGGCCTCTCCATCTGAGTGTC